GGCAGCCGGTGAGAGGCGCCCCTCCGCCACGGAAGGTCGCGAGCACCGCGCTAAGGAGAATGGCACCAGATAGAATCCTTGCGGTAACCCGACCGACCAGTGCTAGCATTAGAAACACCTGAAACACGACACTGTCATTTGACTAATAATGCATTACACGTTTCGAAGTATTCTTTACTTGTTGTTTGAATATTCTTATCGTCGGAAACCCTTATCGATCATTGTACATTCAAGTGTGCTAAAAACAGTAATCTAATCGTTGGTGTCACATAGAAAATAATTAAATACACATAATAAATAGTTCATTCACCGCGATGAGACCATTGAACGGCCCAAAGTTCATTGTTAATTCAACATTGTTTAACAGTGAATTTTCAACACGAAGAGATATATTAAAGATCTATATTAGTTATTTTACAAAGGCTTACGTGGTGCGATAGATTAATTAAAACTTATTGAAATGTAGAATCATAAAGACAAGGTATTCTGGTTCGAACGCGCCGTTTAAATAAGTGCCAGTGCGACCAATCATAGCGCTTTGTATACGATAAAAAAAACCCAGGTGAGACTAGTGCATACTAGCGAGGCGTGCAACAATACGCGAGGCTTGAATACTGTTTTTACACTTTTATATGTACGTATATATAGGTACATACATATAATTAAACGAATTGGTGTTACCTCACTGCTGCGACGATTGCGACAAGAGCCGCATCGTCCATTAGAAAGTCGGCGAATATGCAAATAGTATCGTAGAAACCTCACGAATAACTGGCCACTCACTTCGCCTTCAAATATGCTACGATGAAAGTGACTATTACCGTTAGTAAATTGTGTTAAAATGATTTCTTCTGTTGATTCTATTGCCAAATTAAATCCATGCTCTACAATGTCATCTGATACTGTGTTTGTTGGAACGGTTAAATGAAAAACATCTCCATTAAACAGTTGTACAAGTTTATCAACAACTCGACTACATGGGCGTTGATGTTCATTTGTTTATTTAATAATGACCTTATTTCTCACGTATCCCTTATCGTTAATTTGAAGTTAACCTATGCAATGAGTCATCAAAATTAATAAATTTAACAGAAATTATGTTTTTCAACGTTCTATGTTTTTGATTGTTTACAAAATACTAAATATGGGCTTTGTTTAATAAAATTTTCCTATAATTATACTCGTTCTATTAGTAAATTAGAAAATTTCGGTAGTAATTAACTTGTTTTGTTATATTAACAATAAAATGTCAACAATAATAATACTCAAAACAGTTTAGTTTTCCCATTTAGACAACTATAAACAATTAGGTTTGATGATTCTTGAAAGTTACTTTGTTGAGTCATTACTTCATATTTATTACCAGTTATACCACATTCGGTGCTAATAAACTACAATAAGAAGTAATTAATGCAATCAAAGTTGTCTACCGCATTTTCCTTGCTATTTAATCTAATCAGCTTTATCAAAGTATTATTCTTGACCAAAAATTGATCTAACCCACTACATTTTATATTTTCTCAGTGACTGGTCTTTGCATCCGTCATCTTTGTATGTAAATTAGTTTATTACGGTTATTGTTTTGTAATATTTTCATCTCGACATCAAGCTGGTAAGCAATTAACAAAGTGGCGATCACAACCCGGTCGCGTGGATTTCCCGCTACGATTCGCGTTGAAGCGTTCCATTTATTATCGTCGACTGTCGGCTGACGTATGCCAGTATGTGAATACATTGTAATGTATTCACGGCTGTATGTTTTTAAAGTTCAATTTGCCTCGCACGACCTGTTCCACCTCCGCGATGTTGCGTCAATAAGATATAACACGTTAATTCGAGGTTGGGGCGCACGATCACATTTTACGTCCGGGTTTGTCCCATTTACAATAATAATACCACCATCACGTGAGTAATCAAACCATTACAAATGGAACATAAGTTCGACTTACATACAGCCACTGAGCATCATGTTAACAACCGGAGCCTACGACGTAGATATGTGTTCGTTGCTAGTATATCTCTCGGTCGAGTGAGCCGAACGGACCGGTTGTGACGGCCTCTCACTTTGCAACTTCGTGTACCGCTTGCCGCTTGCTGTGAAATTAGGTAACCAACAAAAGCCAGTCGTTGCACAAGACGGGCAATGAACAATAAAGAAATAACTCCCACAAAATTGAAAATGAAACTGTAAACTGAAAATCCTCATACAAATAAATGTAATCAATGACGTAACCAAGGAGCTAAAGGGATATCGACTGTTTCGTATCTTTTCTAGTTTAGCGCCAGCAAAATAATCGACAAAGTGGCATTCGAATTATGCCTTGAAAAACGGATGAAGAATTTCCTTGTATTTTCCGGCCCAAGTAAGGCAGACAATTCGACCTTCACACAAAGACAAACAACTACTGACGACCTTGAAATAATACAGTTTGCAAGATGCGTTTGAACTCATTACCTTTTGGACACCTAAATAATCATGTTGCTACATTAGTGACAATTTCAAAACAAAAAAGCAGCTGCACAACAAACGGATGAGCGGAAGCAGCCATAGCACAGATGATGCGGGCGAGACGGCTGTTCACCGAATGCCGAAGTATTCCACGACGACGCGCACTTTATATCGGCCGTTTGTACCGCAGAGAAAGCCGCGCCCCGCGCTCCCCCGTGCCGCCTGCGTGTTCGGCTGGTAGCGGGTTTTTTCCTCGTTAGATCCATAATTCCATTTTATACTTTATGCCTCTGCTGTGTTTATCAAACTTTACTTGCATATCGAGACGTCATCGCTTTATCAAATTGTCGGCTTTACATTTATGTACGAATCGATTGGCCAAGTCTTTATAAAGTCATAAACAAAAGCCCCATCTTCACTGATAGTTAGGTTATTTGCAGTTCCTGATTTGAATAACACACAATGTCAAGGTCTCGCGATTTATGGCATGTTATAGGCTAGGTATTAATTAGGAGTAGATTCCGAAATGAATTTCCACACAGGAAGAATAGGATTGCGTAACTTATGTTCCGAGTATCGGTTAACACGTTAGCGGCGGGAGTTACCGGGTTATTGCTCCACCAGTCTCCGCTTCGCGGCGCACTCTTTAATAGGTTAATTGCCTGGCATTGTGGTGCTGGCACATATCGTCAACCGCGACCTTAAAGCGGCTCGCGGCCACGCATGTAGGTGTGCGCGTCACCAAATGAGATACGCCTGGACTGCCGACCTTACTTTGTTTTTTTGCAGTGCATAGAGTTTATTATAAACCACAAATTGAACATTATACGTTCTTTATTTTGTAATATATAAAAAACTTTTACAACATTTAGAAATTTTCAATTTTTCTAGGCCCAGTTGTATTTATACTAGCTTGGAAGTTAAGATCTTTCAATTCAATTAACAGAGGCCGTCATGGGTATACAAATATGTTTGTTTGTGTTCTACATAATTTTTATTGTACCACGAAAAACGGAAATACAAGAACTTATAAATAAAAACGAAACAACACTTTTTCTGGCACTGAGAAGCGGACCATGAAGCCGATACTCCCAGTGACCTCAATAAACAGATTCGTTTGTTTGGTATTTTCACTTCTTAAATGCGTAATAGGAATATTATATTGATCATTAAATTGAAGTGAAAATTGTTCGTGTAATGTAGCATCCAACTGTAGTTTTCGCGACGTTGCCATACCAGGCGCCGATGAAAGCAATTGCTCACTCCCTGATTTGCACACACGCAATACCCACACAGCTACACACGCTACTTGCGATGCCTTTTTTAGCTCTACTGACTTAAGTGAAGGCGATATAGCAATAAGTAATAAATTAATTCATGTAAAACTGCAGATTTGCGTTACCGCATTTGTAGTTCGCATGATTCACATTAAAATCACGTGAACGTTTGCCAGGTTTCCCACGTCGGAACTGAACATCCCTTACTCACTGAAGAAAATTGTGCGCCCATTATTCACGATTATATTTACAGTTATAAAATAGCACCGTTCTTTTTAAAGTCCAAATATCATGGATCTGGTATCAACATTGTTTTGTTAGAATTAGAATTACAGGAGTTTTGCAAAGATGGATAACTATCATCGACTTCACATAAAAGGTTTCATTGAGCCAGTTCTTGCTAAAAGAGGCCAAGCTAAGGGTTTTAGCGTTAATGACGATAAATAATCCCTACTATAAATAACTGGACAAGTTGAAATATACCTTGAAAGAGCTTAAATCAAGCCATCTTTGTATAAGTAAGAGAAGAGTTCAAAGAAAAGAGTCCGTGGTCCAATAAAGGCAGTTTGTTCATTGTATACTTACATATATAATCTAATTGCTATCGACAGTTCGCAAGCGCGATGCATTACCAAGATGAGGCATGCACACTCCATACAATAAATGTACTTCATAAGTTGCGCACTCTTGTAATGAACCGAAACGGAGTCTATTATTTTATTGCCGGTGACATTTTGAGACAGGCGCACCTCCCGCTTCATTTTCTTGGTGTAACAAGCTGAATTTCAAAGTGTCTTCAAATTTCCACTACGTTGATAAATGCGTATTTCTATTTGTTCTCTAAATCATCATAACATTATAATGACAATTTCATAAAATACGTCTCCTGCTTATTATGTAGCTTTCGGAAGATGAAAGAATTTTTAAAATCGTCCTAGTAGTTTCTGGGCTTATTCAATTGAAATAAACAATCAATTCTATCGTCTTTATAATATGAGTATAGAAATCAATCATTCATGAATGACCCCACAATTTTCTGATGATCGTTGCAATTAACAATTAGATGTAAACAACACAATATTATATTGCAATAAATTATTTCCATTTTCCTGTCTCTAAAAGCAGGCACGTGTATGCAATCTCATGAAATCGCATATATGTACTTATATGAAAACAATCAATAAGCTTATTGAAGTGAAGTCGTACATGAAAATTCTAAACAAAGCTTAAAATGAGACTTCTATAGCTAATACATTTTTCTTTGCCTTTTTCAGAAAATCTCGATCCCGGCTCCTGCCAATGGCAATGGATCAACAGGCGAAGCTACATTTCACTTCAGCGTCAATAGCAATGCAGAAATGGAGGGTCCACAGGTAATATTTCGTTAATATAATGAACAGTTTACTAATCTTCAATCATCACGACCGATGCGTTGCGAGGTAGGCAATTTTTACAACGATATTCAAAAAAGTCAAATGGCTTAGCAATCGATAGGAACCGAGATAGAGAGATACGCTTTGCTAACCGACGACCGACCTGTTGTAGTCAACTGAAGCTTGCTGACAGCACGTTTTAATTTTTCCTTTTATTTCGTAATATTAATAATGCGTATTTTTCCGTTTATCTAAATGATTGATAACGTTCTCAGAATCATCGAATTATACAAATTACGAAATAAAATATGTAATTGTGAAACCTGCATTGAATGAGAAAAACGTCAGCCAACCACTGAAATAGTCCAGAAGTATTATATAATTTGCTTGCCATTTATTACTTTTGTAATTTCTTCATCAACAGCCTCGACGCTCATAAAATTAAAAGGAACTTATTTGTAGCTTTTTTATTAATAAGGATATTTATTTACCCAGTTGCGCATTTTGATGTAAGTATCGACCCTCGTGTTTATTTGTCGTTAGTCATCGATGTAATAGATATCGGTTTTGCTACTTTTAGTCATACTAAAAGTTAACTTTATTTCGTTAGAAACAATAACATTTGTAATGATATACCTAATCAAAACAGAAAAATAATTAGCTTGACCAAAAACTGTCTGTTTAATGTGTAACCAAATAAATCAATAATACTGATCATAATTTCACAAGAATATGCCGGTGTGAATTCAAAGTGTCCGTTTATTATTTTTTAAATAACAAACAATACAAAACATGGTATTAATTAATTAAATACACTTATTATATGTGAAATTTTTATTATTGAATTTGCTGTCTGACAAGCTCATACATATCAGATTAACATTTTAACAATCGTTTCATTCAAAAAGTAAACATTGTAAAAGTAAACATAGCGTTAAAACCTCAAGGCCGAAATATGGTAAATGTACTTGAGTATAATGGAAACAAATTATTTATTTATGCTTCTTATAGCTCTAACAGAAAATTAGCAAATCGTAAATCCTATGACAGCTGTTATGTGAAAACTCAGCTTCAATCGCTATAGCAATTAAAGCAGTAGGTATCCAAGGGTTGCCAACTGATATACCAGCGTCCGCCGTTTGCCTTTCACAGATTAGATTTTTTTAATAGGTAGACCTAATGACTTTCTCAGAGCTTTCTAAAGACAATAAATAAGAAAAATAAAAAAATATGTGACGCGAGTTAGATTGGTACTAAGCGTTTGTAATTTTTAACTATATACATAAGTTCATGAAAACTTGGAATTAGAAAGAGTTCTCGTGTGCTTTTTTGCATTTATAAAACCTTCACTTATAAAGATTTTATAAATCATTAGATCTATATTTATAAGTATTAAAAAGAAGTAACATTAGATTTTTTGTTTGAATAAAGTCCCCGTATCTTTAAATCGCTAAAAAATAATATAATATTTTAAATGATCATCAAAATTAAAAGTTTGCATAGCAACTCTGTTTGTAAGAAAGAGCGTGGAATGCTAATTAATTAATTATGTTTCGAATGAATATGAAATAATTCACAGTTTTGCTATCAGCCATAAAATAAAGAAGTGATAAAATTCGACGCGGTTAGTCTTCGCAATGTAGTTAATAAGTTACAGGTACATAACTAAATATGAGGCAAATATTATGAATGTGAAACTACTTATTGTCAATCTTTAGCCTTAGGCACTGAATTTGTAATTTGTAAATTTAGAACTCGATGTTATTGTTAAAGTTGGTCAACAAGTTTATTATTATGGTATGTCTGTAGAGTAGTACGTTTCCAACTAATTAATGCGCATAAATAGTCAAGTTAACATATGATATGAATATACTGCCAGCATCACTTGTGTGGTTCTGTAAGTATTTTCGGTAAAATAGAATTTTTATCAGGTTTCATTATTGAAAGTATGCCTTCACAACTCCTTTCAACTACATTATTGTTTATGTTAATTTAGATAGTTGTTGAGGATTCCCAAAAAAGAACTTATTTTTGATCTTCTTGCTAGATACGAGGAAAATTCTAAAAGCATAGCCATGATTCATTTAACTGCTTCCAGTTTTTTTAGCTTGATGTGAATGTTTCTATATAAAAAGTGTTTAAGCAAAATATACTTTTCTGACTACTTGGATACTGGTCTTCCCCCTCCCAACATCAAGTAACATTTATATAACCGTGAACCGAGCTCTCTTTTATCAGAGCGATAATGTGAACGTGTGGAAATATTATATTTCAACGCCAACATACTACCTTGTTATTAATTCTATTATCATATGCAAGTCTTGAAACAAACAAGAAAAATATGATAAGAAAAGATATACTCGGTAAATTACTTAAGTTGCCTAGGTCACTCATATTGGGGTTGCCATCTGTTTGGGTTTACCCTGATTTATCCTAGTTTAGGATAATCTAATTAAAATTTTGGCCCGCAACGGTAACATAGAAACATTTTTTGAGTACATAGGATTTTATATTTAAAAATATAGAATTCACGAGTAACTTATCTTAGTTTGCGTATGTCAACTTTGACAACTTTTTTTCATATTTATTTATTTTGGCATCAAACAGTCATGTAAAATAACAATCATAGACAAACAGTAACGTCATTAAAAAGACCTACAGTGACGAAGTTTGAAAGTCTTAAATGATATTGTTTACATTAAATTCAAATCAAAGAAGACCAACTATACGTACAATGTAATAAAGTAAAATAATAAAAAAAAACTATTGTGAACAATTATAATTATGTTTTAAGTTATTTTTAATATTCTTTATAGATGTGTTAAAGAAATCTATGTTTCACAGTTTCTTCTTATATATATGATAGTAGTGGAACGACAAAAGGATGCATTATATTGTGTATAATAATATAGTGTCCTAATAATATTTTGTATTTGGTGCTGAAATATAATGTTCCAGAACTATAGATAAACACTCTTTTTGTTACTATGAAGACAATGTGCTTGTCTATATCTCCGCTTATCGCTGTGAGATTTATTGGTACTTGGACTATACAGTTTACAAACCTGCTCTCATGATAAGTCAGTTAGCCGTCTTACCACTCTTAATATTATTATGACAAATTAGTGATACATAAAAATTCTATTTAAATATTACTCTTGGACTATAAGTATGGACATTTTGACTGGCTAGTACAGGTTGACACTATAAATGTAGTTTCGAGTTCAAAACAATCTTTACAAGAGTGTTCAAAGACGATAATGAATTGTTCAAGCCTTATCGTTATGTTTACTTTCGATAAACTCTTTTGTATCTCGGTATCGACGTTCAGAATAGACGTTAATAATTCATCATTTTCAAAGAACAAGTTATTCATATAAACGTTACAATATAGCTTAAAAACTTTCACCAACTTAAATGATTTTTGAGCAAAAAATATATAATAATAAGTAGTAGAATTGGAATGCGGCGCGCGTTTAAATCGTTACTCAATAAGCTGGTATAGAAAGTGGATTTCAGACACGGAGTATTCGTGTAGCATTTCAAACACCTCACAATTCGTAGACCTCGATAATTTTTGTCTAAGCCTAATGACAGCACTATGAAGCCGGAAACTTGACAACACCGAAGTACTCCAACACGAGACAAAACAATATTGTCGTCATGCAAAAAAACTACTCAAGTTGCAAAATTCGGTCATAAAATATGTGACACTGTGGTTGTATACTCTCACCTTCCATCAGCCCACGTATACCGCGAAATAAACGGGATTTTGAATACTTTTTGTAAAACCAAATAAAAAGTAAACCAGACAAGTTTCAAAATAATAACGATATTCTTTATTTATTGATAGTTACTCTATTTTAAATATTACACAGGCTATGATTAATGTAACATATGTTTGATAAGCAAAAAATTTCGTAATAAGTTTATTGTGAACTTTGTTGCTTAGCAAATAAGACTTCTTAGCTAAGCGGTTAAGTCTAACTCCGAGAGATTTTGGTCATTTAGACTAGTTAAATTATCTCTAGCGAGTGTATTATGGACCATTTACACGAGTGTTACACAGGCCTGGCTTACTGGACTCTCTCGGCTACCGGCTTAGTGTAAATGGTTCATTAGGGTTTCCTATGATGCCTGCACCTCTTAATGTTATGTTCGTCTTCTATCAAAATTAATAGCATCGCTTTGTCTTCAGGGTTCGTTCGAATGCGTCAGGAGTGGCGGCGCGCGGCGGCTGGAGTCGTGCGGGCCGCTGCCGCGAAAGATGCGCGTGCACGCGAATGACGACTCATATGAGGCGACTAAGGACCGAATGGCGAGGACAGTCGCGGCGGAGCAGAGCAAATGGTCAGTTCATATAAATCTCAATTACGTTATACTTAGGATAAGTATACTGCAAATAACATTAGATAACTCATCAGGAACAGTCTATCTAGAAACCTCATATGAAGGTATTATTTTTTTTGCTTAACCTTGATTATATTATTATTTCTTATTATTTACAGTCATGTTGACTCAGACACGTCAAAACATAACGTGATTATTACAATCTACTAGTTTTTACCTGGGACTTTCCACTTGTACATATTTAGAATGTATTTATTTACATTAATAGTTTTATGCTTGAGAAAGGCCCCGCAACCGCGTATTGACACACTTGAGTGTCAATACGCCCATAAGTTTGACACCTTGTTGACAGCAATGTATGCGATGTTGTCTAATTTTTATTTATTTATTGACATAAATAAACATTTGCCAAAATCACGTGCAATGCTCAAGATTCCAAGTTGAGTTTAGCTAAAGTCCCCGTATTATGGAGCATAAGACAACAATGGTACCATAACACCCAGATCAGAGACAATATAGAGAAGTTCATTTTCTACATTGACCAGAACGGAAATCGAACCCGGGACCTCAGAGATGGTGACACCTTGAAATCGGACTCTAAAGCTATCTACAAAATTGCATTGCACAATTGGTGTAGTGAGTGAGTGTAGCCATGAAACAATAAAAGACAAATTTACTGCTCCATTTTTATAATATTAGTTTGGTCTAATACGACTTTAATTTTGACTGTATATTTGTATTTCAGCACCCGCGTAATCAAGCCCAACCTAACGGACATTGGGCGTGTAAAAGTGCGTCCGGCGAACCAAAACTTATACTCATCAACGGCGGCCCGTCTCGTTGCCGAGCGGGCGGAGCGCGAACGGGAACGCGAACGTGAGCGGGAACGCGAGCGGGAGCGTGAGCGTGAACGAGAGCGTGAGAGGGAACGGGAACGGGAGAGGGAGCGCGAGCGGGCAGAGCGCGCCGCACCACCTGCCCCGCGGCCCCAACCCGCACCACACCCCCCCGCGCACCCCCCACAGCCGCAACGGCCCCCGCCCAACCCGGATCTCACTAGACGGTCTATAAAGTGAGTACCATACGATCCAATTTAACATTGCAGATGGGCGTAAAGGCAAAAAAGAGAAATGAGACCGATGTCAACGTTTCCAACAGTAAGATAAGAGGATAGCGCATAGCACTTCCAATATTTTTCGATCAATGTAAAAGTGCCCGGTAAAGCCCTCGGCTATAGTCTCATATTTTTCCTAAGAAAAAAGAGTATAATTATTTCGAAAAGAAATTGAAAAAATGGTGAACTCTGACAAAATCCTTAAAAAATATATGATTTTTCACGTATTTAATTATATTAGCTATATGGACTTATTTTTTTAACACCTATTGAAAAAAAAATAGTATCATTTGAACAACCTTTTAAAATCCGCACTTTCGTTAATCTAAGTACACACACACTTATTTTTATTTTAACAGTAAGTAAAATATGAGTTTAACGTCCACATTTTCATCAACTGATTGACAAACTTGTCTCTATGCTGTATGTATTTAATTATAGCCGAGACGTAAATTTATCCACGTAAATAAAGAAAAATAAGAAAATATTCTAGAAGATTAAGTAAATAAATAATTGTTATTCTATTCTATATCTTCACGCCATATCGATTTGCGAGGTAGGCAATTGTTTTTATTCATAAAAATCCAATAACTTTTGGTAATAAACATGATTGCATTGCATCATGTCAGGTATTGACCTTTTAAAAAAATTACTAAGTTCATATCAATTTGTCAATAGTCTTCATTGTCCGAAGTATTGCATTTCGAGTTACGAGTTCATATATAAATATTATATGACATAGTATACCTCACTGAGCTGAAACCATATCTGCTGTTCGTGAGGCTGTTCGCCCTGTGTGAACCAGCCTAATAACGTCGGCATATTATCTTGTGCGTATATAATTAAAATAGATTTAAAAAAATATTCCTCAGCATAACACAAAACATATGATGTTTTTAAATTCAAAATAAACGTCATGATGATACTTTATCAATAGTTTACCCAATATAAAAAAAGATATGATAAAATGTGGCAGCGATTAGGATGTGCGGTTTTAACTTTCGCACGAAATGTATATAAGTTTTTATCGTTTAAGTTTTATTAGGTATTATTATAATTTTAATGGTGGTTTGTTTCTATGTGGATTTCCTATGTCAACCTAAAATATAATAGTCGGGTGTTTATTATTTCTAGCAGTTTACCACTACGTTTTATATAATTTGATAAGTTCAAGTTCGAGGAATGGAACTTTTTTATTCCGAGTGTATATAATTCAAATACGAGTGCACATAATTTAAATATTTTTAAGACAACAGTCAATAGGCTTCTTTTTGGCTAGATCGTCCTACCGTAAATCTCATCCGTGTGGTAGAATTGAGACCAAAAGTGATCCGATCCATAGCAAGATCTCTGCCGTAATCGTAATTTTAATATTTTTCTGCTAATACTAAATTCGATGAAAGAATTATGAACAAAGTTTGAGGATCTCGTCTCATCTTTATAATGTCTTTACATTATAGTAATAATTTACAATAAACCTTTATATTGAGTAGATGACGCTAATGTACAGGAAATTCTATTCACGTGTGTTATTGATATCTAAATTGGCTATATTTATAATACAAGGTACCACAATGACGCGTGTCTGTCATAACAAGCTGTCTATATATGATATTCTAGATTTATGTTTTTATTGGATTTCAATATTTTTAAGGAACTTTATCTATTGTCTTGAAAATATTGGTGACTACAAAAGTATTAAACCTAAACTATATGCACCAGCAGTGCTATTAATAAAAAAAGTTAAGCGTCAGAGTAAATTTACGCTAAAATTGCAATTTCAGTATTATTCCAAATTCATATTATACAGAATAAGCAAACCTACTCCCTCCTAGGAGTAAATATTACTCCCGTACAACCTCTTACTAGGTTAACCTTTGCTAAGTATCTGTTTAATAATATGAACTTTGACTAAGTGCAGTATCAGCGTAAATTTACCCAACGCTAAACCTTGTTTATTAATAACACTGCGGTAGTTTCACATCCAAGTTACTTCTAAATATCAAATTTTTCATAATTGTTTTTCAACTCAGTAAGGTATAAAACCGCAATAAGTTGTGCCTCTTTTTGATCTATAAAACTCCATTTAACTCGTTTACAAGCTTGACACAAGGACATTATGGTTGCTGAATATATGATTCTTTAAACATGAAACCTCGTATCATAATGAAATTGCAGTTTTTAACTGTAGGAAAGTTTTGAATATATTTTGTACCTTACACTTAAGTAAATAAGGTTACTTAATTCGCAACCAGTACAGTATATTAATCGAACGATCAGCAAATGAAAAATTACTAACCATGGTCACTAAAGAAAATTAAAAAGAGATATCTTACTATACATTTCCACGAAGTCATTACGACGGCCTTCGTAACGCTGACTTCATAGTGTCGTTGTTTGTTAAAGTAATTCAACGGTCTTGACGTGAGCCACTATCTTATTGTTCTTCAAAATTGACATATAGTAAAGAGGTGTCATTACTGTCTTTATTATGATGATTTCTCTTAATTAAAACAAAAGCATCGTCTATAGCCATCGCAGATACGTAGCAACGGTATCCTACGAAAAAATTTTTTGTGATTAAAATTTAATCTATTTATTAAGCTTAGTAGCTTTACGCTTAAGGAAATGTTTGGTGAAATAAATTTACGATCTTTCGATAACTATTTGATACTGTAATCTTATAACTACTGTTGATCTAAATGTAAATAATGTATGGCGCGATGTCGTTATCACATTATATGTAATAAGACGTAATACAGTCGTTAATACCCTCCAATCCGCATTGGGCCAGCGTGGAGGGTCATGGCCCATCCTCCTTAACCATCCATAATATGATGTATAAGACAGACGTAGAAACGATATATAACGCTGATCTGTAAATTGAAAATTACGTTTTTGTAACAATGAAATCTCTTTATTTACAGGGAAAGACTTATACAGTTATTAGCGTTGAAACCTTTCAAGAAACCCGAACTATACGCGAGACTCATTAGCGGTAAGTGAACGTCCTTCTTGAGTGCAGTCTTTCCGATTGCTAACTCAACTTGACTAACGGTCAAACTAACATTACAGAGGGTATCAAAGAGAAGGAACGCGGTCTGGTGAACAAGATACTGCCACAGATAGGCTCGCTCAAGGACAACTCATACCATTTACGTAGGCACATATGGAACGACGTCAATGAAGATTGGCCGTTCTATTCAGAGGAGGAAAAACATATGCTCAAGAGGTGTGTAGGCTCAGTTGTGTACGCATGATCTTTAGAAATTAATAAACTTACTGTGTACGTTGTAAATGAGCTAACTGTTATACTACTTTGGCATGTACAATGAGAATTATGTTAGAAATGTGAGAAAAATCGTGGTTATATATGGTCTGGGATCCGAAATGGGATTGAAGATAAAAATCTTGGTATATATATGGTTGTTGTGTTCAATAACAATCGCAGCACATTATGCTGATAAAGCTGTTAATATAGTTGTTATGTGCAATAAAAAGATATTAGTAATGCAAAAAATAAACTGTAAAATTGGGAATGCCTTTTCTTATATTTTGTATTTACAAGAACAACTTATTGATTCGGCACTCTTATATTCGATAACACACTGGCATTCTTGTAAACATGTCTCATGAAGAGAAGTTATCTACCTTTAAATTGACTGTGTAGAGTGTAAATTCCTGTAGCAAAACACGCAAATGTTAAAATTGATTTAGTTCTTCATGATTATTTACTTGTGATTTCAATATTCTTACGCTGCAGCGAATAGAACGTCTACTTTAATTTTCCACTAATCTATTCCGTGAATATAAAATATAATCTTAGTTCAGGTGGGAAAAGGTATCATTGCCCTTTTTTCAGCTGGCCTAGAAATAGATTATATCTCGTTAAAGATTTCACATGTTATGATGATAGTTAAGTAAATGCAAATGTTTTATATTGCAGGCGGAAACCTCAAAATTTAACGCCGCCGCTAAGTAGCGATTCGGCGCATTCTCTATCGCCGCGAGCGTCCCCCAGTGCGAATAAAAGGCCGAGTACTAATGCGGACGAGATGCCATCTAAGAAACAACGCATCTCACATTACAGGTAATATTCAACACACAATTATAACAAAAGAAATAAGCAGCAGGAGCCGGCGCTCATCAAAGAATATTTTAAAGTCTTATTATTAATTTTGACCATTCCTGTAATCCTATTGTTTATATTTGTTTAATACCCATAATTGATTGTCCTTGAATTCCGAGATACGTTTGGCTCACGAATCCTTGGAAAATAAATGCTATCATATTTTTGTATAAGAATTAAAACAACCCTGATGTTTATTCACAACAATAGCTGTTGAATAATAATTAAAAACTTACCTTATTTACAAAAGCTTGTTCAAATAACTATTTATATTGTAGGTATATACAGTAATATATTAGAACATTATGTGAATTTTCTGCATCCTTACAGTATTAGGCTTCAAATCGAGTGGAGAAATTTAGTTTTATCGCTTATAACATACTATTTAACGTTATCTTCTATAATAGATTTAAACCAGTTTCTAATCGTGTACTCTTTTTGGCACACAGGCGGCCGTCGCCTCCGTCGTCCGGATACGCGACGACATCGTCCGGCGAAAGGCACGCGTCCGACAACGAGGACGAGCGGCCCGGCACGGGTACAGTGTGCCCGCCTGGGTACACGCACGTGCCCGCCGTAGATGTCACCAACGTGGAACAGAGCAAACCGCGCCCGCCGCATAGACGCGTCTCGCCCCACGCTAACACTAATGTAGACCGGCACTGTTCCGACGACGACGACAAGACGCAAGGTTAGTTGATATTTTGTGTATTGCGCCTGCGGGCCTAATCAAATTATCTTCAAATTGTATTTATAACTAGAGTGTCGGGTCTTACCTCCGTTTCTTTAGAATCATATTAACATTTCGAAAATGAACATAATTTCTTTTACGGAGAAATAGAATTGGCCTTGCGGTATCATGTCAATTCGTACGAGTAGTATATGTTATGCTATACCTTATTGGGTATAAGGGCGTAGCGAGAATTTACTAATCTCGTCGCTTAGGAAAGGGAGGATGCGCAAGTGTCCCGTTAATTGCATTAGTATCTTGCGTCAACTTATGTTAACAAGTTTCGACCTCCACCTTATACTAGACTGATACTGTCCAATGGCGACTAAAGGTTAGAGTCTACGTATTTTTGGTCATTATTTTGCCCTCTCAAACCAACGTGGACCGGTCCACTTCACTTGGCAAAATAATAAACCGGTATTATTAGAACGGCGTGAAGTCTGTGAATTTTTGGCAGTTTGAGGACTGAGGATTTGCTCAGGGGTGCGACCGCCTAACTTAAAGCAAAGGATACGACATCTTAGCGATGCTGTAGCGATATTTAATTTCATGTTACATTTCTTTTGATAAATAAATTTGAGATTCATGTGTAAGTTGGTAAATGATGATGTATGGATAAGGATTATGTTTATGACAGCATCATATCCATTATTTCATTATTAAAGTATATGACAAAGTAGGAAAATTAAAGGGAAACCTTAATATCGCCAATGTGTATCCTATGGCTGTCGTGGCTAGAGCGTAAGGTGGTGGATGGTGAACCCCAGATTATTCCTAAGCCACGGTCTTACGTCCACTCATCTCGCGTGTCGCTCTTTACACTTCTGTTTCTATCGGGTAGTTTTAGAAATCTGACGCGTCAATTGTATCTCCTACAAGTTCAGATAAGAAATACAAGAAAAATAGAAGCTACAGCGATTTTATTAATGTGATTCTCCCGCTAAGTCGCAAAACGATTTAGCGAACAAGAATGTCAATCACTAGCACATATAATATATATGAAACAGGCTCAGGCGATAAATAAAATAACTAAATAAATGAAAGTTTATTAATTTATAAGTGCATCAAATAAACATTATTTGAATAAAATTAAAATTCTTACCGCTTGTCTGTGGAGTCGCCTCAAAAGTGACTGATGTCTGACTGAACTATACACTTATTATATACTGCTCCGACCTCATTAAAATCAAATTTACTCAAACGACCAATTAATTTAACAGATTATCAAAAATTAGTTTTATAATGGTAACTAGTATTTAAACCCATTCATTTTGTTGCAGTCAAGAAAGAGAATGGTTACACCTTAAACTACACCACTGTTAAGGATCTCTGTCCCAGTCCTGTCAAGACGAACGGTTTTAGAAATAGTCCTACAGTAGAGCAAACTAGTATCACAGGTGAGTAGTTTTTTAAATATCTTCTTTCGAAGTTTCGTCAGTCCTATTAGGTGCTGGGTAGCTCAGTGGGTAGAGCAGTCGCCCTGATTGCGAAAGGTCATAGGTTCGAGTCCCATCTCAGAGTGCCAGGGAATTTTTTTTTTTTAAGCTTTTTCATAATAGCATTGTGAATGTAAAAATTAATCAAAAAATATAATATTCTTTTTTTTTCTTATGGTTTTTTGTACTGACACTACATTTCATATTTTCGAAATTATTTCAAGTTGTGTAGAGAACTTTTGCAGTTTTAAATATGTTTTTTTTTATTTAGTTTTGCTTTCAAATGGCAAAAAATTTTTGTAGAAAATACTAGTTAGTTTTTTTTTACTTATTTAACTAGGATATTTGTTTACTATTGTGCAATGTAGTGTAATTATATATCGGTATAATAATCTTGATTACTACTTCCTTAGCAACAAGAAGAACATCCATTACAAAATGTCTCTAAAATAAATTCCAACTGTTTGTGTACTAGCTACCACAAATAGAAAACGGGTGTATAGGAAGTAACGTTCAAATCTCATTCATAGCCTGGATAAATAAATATGGGACGTTAAAAACCACATTCTAGATGAATTATTATATCGAGATTCACACTGAAAATATTACGTTGCCTTTCGGAGCTATACCTATAAAGTTAATAATTCATATTGAAAAAAGGTGTTGTTAACATGAGTCATAAAGAACAGCTGTGAGTGCGAACTTTTTTATTATCATGTTGCATAAACAAAGTAAACTTGTTTTACGATTTAGTTGAATAACATTAGATACACACGTGTACGCAAATAACCATTTCATTATGATGTGATATAATTTTCTGTTTTTTTTTTTACAGTAAAAGACATCACAAATACGGAACCTTTAGAAAATACGGAATTATCGTCCGTGGCTGACGAGAAAATGACTGATCCAGAAGACATTGAAAGGTAATTTTTGTTTAAAATTTTAGTGAACTTTTTATAGTTTCATATTATTTTGACCGTTTTTAATAAGTACTAGTGCCTATTCTTTTGTCCCACTCTAAATGAAATATTATAACTTTAATTTGGATAATCAAAGATATATAAAAATACTCCTCAATACTATAATAAAGCTTACTGATATGTTTTAGTTATTTTTCCAAATGAAAAAGCAGTTTGCCAGGTCTAAACCTAAAACGTTTGTTTATAACAAATCATATCTGTTTACTATATTTTCTCTGAAATATTGTTTCCGTAAACGTTTACATGTGGTTTCAAAAACTTGATTGTACAGTGATTACTCAGTGTGAAGTAATAAATCGGCCCGAGTAATACTCTAATATTGACACTGTGTCGATACAGGCAATATCCGCCAATAACGAGTTCGAGTACGCGTCGCGCTTATAAGAACGAGTTTGCGGAGTTATACAAGGAGTATAGAACATTGTACGAGCGAGTGGCTGAAGTGGCCAAGCTATTTACAAGGCTCGAGCAAAAGCTGCAACGAGCTCAACCACACTCGCCTGATCATCAGGTATGTACTATTGGATTGCAAGCTGTATTCTCGCGACTGCCTTTGTAAATTTTAGCCTGTCACCCATGTATGATGTAACTTCCTGTAGGTGAATGGATTTTCATGATCGGATCAGTATATCCGAAGGATATCCCCTACAAACAATAAAGTTGGAAACTATACCTCTTTATATTATTAGTACAGATACTAATGTACACTTGTGCACAGCATTGTTATATTTATTTAAAACTGTCATTGGATATTTTAGGAACTCGATGGGTGGTTATGTTTATCGAGGTGGATGGTGTTTATCGAGTTTGATATACAATTATTTTTATTTATATCGGTTTTGACAAATGAGATTTAAACTCACCACATTTTAAGTTCCTTAAAAAGTAGCTACATATCCAATCACCGCGTAATTCGAATGGGAATCTATATTGCGCCCTTTCAAACGTAAAAGACATCAAGTCGGCTAATAAGTAAACGGGTCTAAAACACTTGCTATCTATTCCAGAACATTGAGCAGCGTATCCAGGACGAGTACAGGCGCGTAAGCAACGATCCAGCGTATCAGCAGCAGCGGCGGCGGGTCAACTTCCTCCATCGCAAACTGACTCACATCAAACGGATGGTCTACCAGTACGATCATTTGGTATGTATTATATAACTGTACTTGTTTTGTTGCCAATTGTACAGACAGTTGACGATCACATCTTGGACAGTTTTGTGTGAAACTTGAATGTTCCGAGTTGTATTCTATATTCGCTTTTATTTTTGACATTTTATCTATGATATATGAATAAAAACTTCGAAAATAAATGTAGCAAAACCTTAACTAGCAATATAAGTATACTTTCTATCCACAAGGATTGGAAAGACATTTTCAGTTTACTAAATAATGACGTCGCAATTGTATATTTCTGTGAATGTCTAATCCTTTTATTTAAACTATTTTGTTAGTACTACATTTTTTAGTTGTTAATCTGACCCGTCTGTTCTTCAGCAGCAGGTCTTAGAATTAAGTTTACTATGTTCCGGATTTGGTGAATACGTTTGAGATGGTGCCATCACATAGCAGGTGTCTATAGGTTTAAGTTTTATCATCAGGTGGACTATGTTGCCGTATCAACGTGAGTACTCGTTCTATCTCGATTTCCAAACGCACGGAACCTGGAGGGTCTACATGGAGATTCACGAGGAAGAGTGTCAAGAAACTTCAGGCAACTTCATATCAAGCTTATATGTTATAAACAGGGTATATTTTTGAATGGCCAAACAAAATGCTTGCTTGATATGCGGTCTCCTGTTTTTATTTTATATATTGTAATATAATATTTAGTTATAGTAAGTTATGCCCAAAGTCTTGTTTCAAAACTTTACTAATATTTTGTTTAAATTGTAATGCACCAAACATAAAGAGAATCCAATGCGAATCTCTCGTGTGCAATACTTGTTTATATACCATTTTTAATAATTTCCGTTAATTACTTATCATTGGGATTTATTAATTGTTACTAATCCTACGTAATAAATACGATGATTATTTTTATGTTTTGTTTTTATTTATAAAAAAAAAATTATTTCATTTCCTTTACAATATACCTATAAGCAAAGTAGTTTATTAATTACCTTAATATTCACTTTATACAATAATATTAATCAAATAATAATTATAGAGTTCAATCCTTAAAGATATGAAAGTGGTATTAGATTTTAAATACAGTTTGCTTTTTTTTTTCTTTTTTAAACAACAAGTCAATCCTTTTATTTTTCATGAAACAACTTTTAGACTCTAGGCATTTCTTGATTTAATTAATGATTAGTCATCGTAATGGATAAATAATGTTCCTGGCTCTGCTGCTGCCCAGGAATCGACATGCTAAAGTATAACTCGTACAAATTAACATGACACCTGAGGGCTTATCCCATTAGTATCTATATCCTTTAAGATTTTATGTACATCAGTGGCAGTGTTACGTCCTACCTTTGTTACATCATAAATTATAGAAAAATTGCGTTTCTTTTAAGTGGCTCATGTGGTATAAGTATTTCAAAAATGGTCAAAATTTTCTTTTCGGTCAAGCTTCCAGGTATCATGTTCATTCGTACAAGTTACAAGTTTCCTGAAAAAGGTACGTATTCTTTATAAGTAGAACGAAAAATACCGACTTCAAATATAGTAAACTTAAACAATTTGTTACTTAATTTTGTAAAAACCGATAGTGCTCTAATCACTGGTCGGGCTTTGTGACTTTAAATTTCTATAATCTACCATATAGTAGTAATCAAATGTGACTCGCACCTTAAACCATGTCAAATATCTGTAAGATGTTTTTTTTATTTTTCGTTTCAAGACTGCACCTCATTTAAAGGATTATGGAGATATGCCAGTAAGTTTTGATTATAAATTAAACAATTCTTTCGCCGGTGTCGCTTCTAAGAAAGAGAACGTAATATAGTCGGTCACTTGCTTTTAAATACCAATCATGCGTATGAAAGCAATTCTAAAAATTATATTTAGTGGGAAATTTTACTCATTCTGTTGTTGCATTTTTGGTAAAATTTCTTGGTATCTTATTAACAATAGATATATCGATGTCTTTCTTTATCTGAATCTTGATCTTTATCTATAAATAAGAATCAACTAATACAGTGTTATTTATTAACTCATCGCTAGCTTGGCTAGCCGTGAAATTTGCGGCACGTGTGGATTGCGAGTTCTTGGCTTTCAAATTACTACATTGCATAGTAGACAAGGCACAGAGTCACTCTGTCTGGCAAAGATGATATAATTTTGATTTATAAATATTAAATAATACCTCTAATCCTTAAGGTGTATCCATATTGAATAAACATTGATATACGTCCAATAGGTATATTCATGATCTGCTTCTCTCATATTAACAAGGAATTATCTTTATTCTATATGTTTTAAGAAAAAAAGCCGGTATATTCTTTTGTGTACAAACATACCGTTTCATTATATTGTCAATTGTTACTGGAAACCGGTGTAGATCGATAATAATCCGAGCTCTAGTCATTCAGTCAACATATAATTTGTGTAGTGTACATGCTCGCGACAATCTTGAGCTGCGTAGCGAAAATATAATATTTCTCGATATATTTTCGAGGGTCATGATCACGTAAACAACATCTCACTTTCTCGAGAAAAGTGACATTTGGATGTAAACAAAACGTTTCTCGGGTTCATCCCGCAACGCGTGCTGATATACCACAAGTGCATAACCTGTTTTGCTTCTAGCTTTTACATATTAAAAATATATGAATGCTAAACGTTTTTTTATTATTAACATTACAAATTCACCGTTATAGAAATGTATACAAATAATTGTTTGTTCTTATATACATTTCTACAAGAACAAACTGTACTTATGCAAATGAGAAATAAAACCGTTCATACTCTTTGTTTTCATAAGAAAAGAGAGAAATTGATGAAAATTATTATAATTAGACTTAGATAAGAAAGAAGCTTTAGATAATCTGATGTGTTGACTATGAAATAAAGCGGGGAATTAATTAGACGGTCATGCCAGCGGGCCAGTTAGGCGGGCATGTCTGACTAGTGTACGACCGTCGCAGTTATTACATAGACCTATAGTAACGAGGTCCTGGCAGGCATGCCGACAAACTTGCCCTTGTGCATGTCCGTCCAGTGAAATCCCCTTTTAAGACGTCGTGTATATCGTCGCCGTGTCTGAGAATTGGACTTATTCGCCAACGTGGTAAAACCTGATTTTTTTCAACAGATTTATCGCTGTTTGTTTAACTTTAGAACTAGAAAGCGGGAATCTGTCATGTCTGTAAGAGATTCGCTTTAATCAGCACTGTTCTACTGCACTTTTGCATAACAGAAAGTACTTTCAACACGGCCCCAGACAAACCAATGGTGTGTTATCAAAAATTTTAAGTGATTTAAATTTATTTACAGCGCAACTTGAAAACTGAACGCGTTGCGACCGCGAGCACGACGCAAGCATACTGACACTCAAGTTATCCGCCGCCCGCCCGCTGCCTCTAGTTACTACCCTCAACTAACATCACAGCATCTCAACAGGTCGAATATACGTACAATTTGGGAACAAACTGCATCGCAATAAACGAATTCGGTACGTGCACATGTATTTTAGATTTTGATTCGTCAAAATGTAGCCGTGTTTTATGATCGTTGAATTACGTATGAATGATATGTATGAGCGATCATCGATCGACGAAATATGTTCGCGTATAAACTGTAATGTTGCTTAAACATTTAAATATGTGATAACGGTGAATGGACTTTGATTTCAGTGTGATATTGACGTGTTTTGCTTGCGTGTAATATGTGAGTTCTGTCGCGCCGCTTTCGGTACGCTTGGAAAGTGAAATGGGTCTTAGAGACAGGATTTGGAGCGTCACAAACGAAATGTAACATAGTAGGACAGCTAACTCTACGATTAGTTGCGCATGTTCTAACATTTCCAATATTGAATGTAATACTTTCACTTTGATCATCGTATGTTGACCGAAAGCGGGCGCAGTAAGACGGCATATTACATCACATAGAATGGAATTTAAATAACATGGATATTTAATCGTTGGAATAATAGTGATCAGTACACCAGTACAGATTTTGTTTGAAATGTGACGATGCAGTTTCTTCACGAATGCTCAATATGTAGGTAGATTCTATTTTTATACGTCAGTAACCTCCCATAATGGTGACAGAGCGAATTCTTAGCCTTTGTATTCTGAACAGTGGACTGCCTGTCGAAGCACCGCTGATTGTAATGCAATTATATTTACAAAATGATTAGAGTTATTATTTGTTGACCATTATTATATGGTTATTGCCTTTGTCAGATGTAATAATTATTATCTAAGATTATGTGGAATTGTCTGTCTGATTGGTGGATACGCTAGTGTGTATTAGAATGTTTCTAGATTTCTACATTTAAAAGCAATTTGAAAATTCATCAAGAATATATCGACAGCCAGACGATGTATTGAGTCATCGTAACGTATTCGTCGCGCGTCCATGAACTTCAAATCAATGTTACATTTAATTTTGAATCAGTTATACACATAGGCGGCCTGCCAATTTGGCAACTACTTACTAATCATGTAGGGAAACTTTATGGTCAAAGCAACACAGTTCTGTAAATAACTAGTTTATTTAAAAAAAAAATGTATATTTTAAGTTGTAAAATGTTCTTCCATTTACTTATAGAACTGTGCCTTACTTAAACCGTATATTTCTGTGAGTGATTGTTTCATCAGAACTCATATAAAAATTGGAAATATTGATATTTTTCAATACATTTGTGACTGTATGTAAAACTGTAATTTTATGTATTATACTTGCTTGTTTACTTCTAGCCTGAAACTTGATTGTTTCTGTTAGGAATCACATAATACGTTGCGTAGACGCTTTCGTTTGAATACGAATTTCCAAGTGGAAACAATAAGGTGGCACTGTTTATACTTCTTCTCTTACTGTCGAAGTATCAAACACTATGACACCAGCAGGCAGTGCTTGCTCCGTTGTCACACAAATGTTTACCGACGTAACTATCGGTCCTCTATTATCGAAGATTAAATTAGACCGGTCGATTTTTGTATTGTAAATAATAAATGTGTATACCTTATATGAATTTTTTAAATTATCGGGTAAAATAGTCCAATAGTAGATATTTGTTCGTCCACGTTTTATTCCATTCGAAAATAATTGCCGTCTGAAATATTGTTGTCCAAATGAAATGCTTAACTGATGGCAGAGTTTACTATATTTCTCTTATTGGTGCGATGTGTAAATAAAGGTCAATATTATGTTTTAAACTGGATCAATTTGAACTACGATGAACGTTAGTCAATTGCGTAGATCATTGGCCTTGTGAGCAATTAAGCATTTTTATCTTTAAAATTTAGCCGATATCGTCCCCTTTGCTTCTAATTAAATCCATCCAAAATTTTAAATGTTGGACGTACATTTTCATTTGATTCGTCTTGCCCAGCTTGCATGTTGTATATAGTAGTATCTTATATTAAAAGATTTATCTCGTTCTTGTTGAATTTTGTTATGGGTAGTGTAATATTGTCCTTTCCTTTCAAAATAATATAATTATTTATTCAGCTAATGAGCTGGCTTTACATTTCCGCTGCGAACATCTTGTTTAAACAGAATAGGCTTGATCAAAATGTCACAAAAAGAAAATTAACATGAGAGATGACGTAGGTTTAGTAAGTTTGCGGAAAATGTGCGGAGAAGCTCATTGCGTTTAAAAAAATACGGCCATAGAATTTGCCAAATTAACATTATAATAATTATTGATTGATTTTTAATTGCCAAATAATTGTCTTTGAAAGTTAGCAACAGCCGGCCAGTGTTGAAACATCCACTAGAAATAAGGTATTATTCTGGTCCTCTTTCAGATATACCCTCCAAAACACAATAAGAGTAATTAATTTTAGTAAGTTTAGTCGGCAAATCGGGCCAGTCGACCGCTTCATTAACCTAAGTGTTACTTAATTCCATATTGAAGAAAACTCC